GCTGCTGGTCGACCCAGAGCCGTTCCCTGGAGTGGCGGTCTCCGCTCTGCATGGTGCCGTTTGGTCGATCGTGGTCATACACTCGCCCGGGTCGGCCCACTGACGCCGAGTGGCCTACCAGAGTGGCGGAGTGTGCTTACGAGTGGGTCTCAAAGAAATTGGATCAATTAGATCCGCTATATGTAATATGTAATGAATGCCGAATTATTGCTGGTGGCAAAGCTTAGGGTTCTGTATTAGCTTTGCGATTTCATTGATGCAAGGACTTCATGCGATCATAACAATTTCATCAAGTTCTCCAAGAGAGAAGTGGTCTGGAGTAAATTATTTCTTCACCTTCGAACGACCATGCTGTAGCACAATACTTACACACACTAGAAGCCCTATCGCCACTCTTTATGTCCCTACCAGGCTCCGTTGTGATTCTCCTGGCCGGCTCTGAACCACTGAGTGTCGTGAGGTCGCTTCTATTGCCCGGTCACTCTGCACTTGGACGGATTCGCTGCCTCGAACCGGCTCTAAAGGCGACCGCGGCGCGGCCGCCGGGGGTTGAAGCCGCCGCGGCGTGCCATTAGGCGGAGATGACGCACCTCGGATCCGGTGTCGGACGGCCATTAGCTGATTATTTTCGTGCCTGCATGTCTCCGTCGTCGGCTGTCGCTCGGTCGGCCATGTGGCGAGACAAACTGAGGCTGAGACATGTGGCGAGACAAACTGAGGCAGAGACATGTGGGAGAAAAACTGAGGATGAGACATGTGGCCAGACAAACAGAGACTTAGCCGTGTGGTGAGACAAACCGAGACTAGCTCGCAAAGGTGAGACAAGCAGAGAGTAGACTGTGTGGTGAGACAAACCGAGACTTAGCTGACGAGACAAGCTAAGACACATATACGCGAGACGAGCTGAAACTCTGGCGGAGATTCAGGCGCAGAAAATGGGAACAAACATCCGGTCAGCCGTGCGACCACAGGAACGAAAACTTGTCAAACTGCGACGGGAGGAAATCGATCAGTCCAGCTCACGACTCAAATCAACTCAGTCCAAAACAGACCAGACTAACGGCGTGGCGAGAGAAACCGCTTCACATGTACCGGCTGACATGCAATATCCAGGCAAGCGCCATGGGCAACAGATTCCTGTCTATCATTTCTTTACCTTCCAATTTCAGGTTTTGTAGTCGTTTATCTATATAGTCAAGCGTCTGTGTTAGAAAGTAAGGAACGTGAGGAGGTAAGGAACTGTTAGAAACAGTATGAAGCGTCCGCCTCGTAGCCAATTATAATCCAATGTCAAGCTGATGCCGCAATAGATGTCACGAACACTAGTGGCTTCGGACATCCGATGGCTCCACCTGGCTTCACTCTGTCCATCTGTCTGTCCTGTCTGTCAGTCTGTCAATCAGTCAGTTCAATTTTCTGTCGGTTTCCTCAGGTCCGTCTGCTCGTCTGTACGTCTCCTTGCCTCTACATAATCTGTTTCCATGTCTGCTCTATTGGTCTGTCCTGTCTATGCATACGCATGCCACAATCGTATGTCGCATGTGTGTGTGTGCTATATTTATGCTCTTGTTCGAGGTTCATTTGCTTGCTGTCAGTCCACCTGTTCATCGATTCGTTTATTCGTCTATTCAACTACTGATGCTTCAATCAGTCTCTTTGGATCAGCTATTCAAGCTGAAGAAGTGAAGACACAATCTCTCCATAACCGGCTATCTTGAAAATGGTTTCGCGACATTTGTGCGTGTAGTTATGTTCATATCAGGCTTCATATCACTCAATATCTTTCATCTCCCTGCTGTCGGGGAATCAGCACGGCTGGCCCGTCTGACGGCGATGCCGGCTGCCCGGTCCATACGCGGGCACTAATGCCGGCTGTCAGACCCATGACAGCGCTCAGACGCTCATTTGGCTGGCCGCGTCAGTCGCGCTGCGTTTGGCCATCGTTCCCATGGCGACTCAAGAACTCGACGAAATTCTACGCTGTCCAGACGCGGATGTTGTGTGTCGTTTCCATGGAGATCGGCTGCTATATGCTCAACTCTTGATGAGTCCGGTTAGTGATTCTGCGGCTCTCGATGTAATGCTGACACTGGGTCTACTTATTGCCAGAGATCCTGGCAAATATATGTCTTCTGACGCCTGACATATGCGGGTACTAAGCGAATATTTTGGAGTCGCTACTTATGCATGTGATTTGTAGGATCATATAGTTTCTTCTCTGCTTGCATATGTAAGAGCCGCATTGCTGTTCACGTTGGCAGTACCATTGCACGCCATTCAGGATATTGGTTTTCATTTGATATGTTCTAAATCACGTTTTTACACATGATTTTTTTAATTGTCATATAGTTTTGTGATTCGCAAGTGAGGGGAAAGGAAGAGAGAGAGAGAGAGAGAGAGAGAGAGAGAGAGAGAGAGAGAGAGAGAGAGAGAGAGAGAGAGAGAGAGAGAGAGAGAGAGAGAAAGAAAGAGAGAGAGAGAGGAGAGAGAGAGGAGAGAGAGAGAGGGAGAGAGAGAGAGAGAGAGAGAGAGAGAGAGAGAGAGAGAGAGAGAGAGAGAGAGAGAGAGAGAGAGAGAGAGAGAGAGAGAGAGAGAGAGAGAGAGAGGAAGAGGAAAGAAGAGGAAAAGGAGATGAAGAAGAACGTACTGCCCGGAAGGCCCTCTGTCAGCGTGTCTAATAGGGCATGTACCGCTCCGGAACACCCTCTCTTGTGGCAGGCGCGGACCTGACGTTGATAGAGACGCTCCAGTGGAGCCAAGGAATGGAGGGGGTGGGCTCCGTGTAGTAGAGCCAGGGGATGGAGCGGGAGTGGGCTCCATATAGTAGAGCCAGGGGATGGAGCGGGAGCGGGCTCCATATAGTAGAGCCAGGGGATGGAGCGGGAGCGGGCTCCATATAGTAGAGCCAGAGGATGGAGAGAGTGGGCTCCATATAGTAGAGCCAGGGGATGGAGCGGGAGCGGGCTCCATATAGTAGAGCCAGGGGATGGAGAGAGCGGGCTCCATATAGTAGGGCCAGGGGATGGAGAGAGCGGGCTCCATATAGTAGAGCCAGGGGATGGAGCGGGAGCGGGCTCCATATAGTAGAGCCAGGGGATGGAGCTAGAGCGGGCTCCATGAGCCAGGGATGGAGCTAGAGCGGGCTCCATGAGCCAGGGATGGAGCTAGAGCGGGCTCCATATAGTAGAACCAGGGGATGGAGCTAGAGAGAGTTCCAGTAGAGCCAGAGGATGGAGCGGGAGAGAGCGGGCTCCATACATATAGTAGAGCCAGGGGATGGAGCTAGAAAGGGAGCCAGAGTGGAGCCAGAGCATGGAGCTGGAGCGGATCGCCACCGATCCTGGATGTAAAGAAGATAATGGACAGGGAATGTTTATCTTAGAAACTCATAATTTTTCTTTTGGTTCATTTGCGTTCGCCACGTCATTAGTTCCCAGCTCATGACATTTTGTTAGGGAAAAATCACAAGCCGATTAGCAATGTTTCAAATGTCTACAAATTTGTCATCCACATGATTTTGTACCTATAGCGGTTGAGTCATCAGTAGCCTCAGCATGTGGTTAAAACTTCAACTTGAAGTGTGGCTGATGGCCGTAATAAGATTGAGGACTGTAACGAACAATGCGAATTGTGTTTTTTTTACATTCGCATTGTGCAATGTGCAGTGCGCAATGTGCCTTATTGTGCAATGCATAGGAATACAATATGGTTACATGCTAGTAATACAATGCTGGTTACGTGTAGATAAATATTCTGATGTCTCTCGACCACTGCAACTGACTCGGGACAGTTAGTGCTTGCATCGCTGGAGATCGGCGCACTCTGTGCTGAACTGCATTGAAGAGGTGACCTTGTGTCTGTGTGTGTGCCGCGCCGTGCCAGGTCAAACAGCGCTCGTGGCTGAGAGAGATGGCCCGGCCGGTCGTTGGCACGGCAAATAGAACCACCTGCCATGCGCCGGCGAACGGTGCAGTTGGGTGATGCACTGTGCAGCCCGCTGGCAGACTCTGCAGTGTGCAGTTATCACTGCATTGTGCAGCCCGCCGGCGGCCGGTGCAGTCGGCCTATGCAGCCGGTCCACGGAGGCTCAATCACTGTGCGGTCGTCCAGTCGCCGGGTTGTGCGGTCTCGTTCAGTCACATGTGTGCGATCGGCCAGTCACTTACCTGTACGAACGTGCGCACATACAGTGGGCAGTTGTCTAGTCGCCGGGCTGTGCAGTCGATCCGTTTCTGGTCCCCGGCGTAGAGCGGCCCACCTGTCCACTGTGCAGTGTCCTATTGCCTCGCGACGCGTGGTTAATTCCCAATGACGAACGGGGCAGTGGAGCAGGTAGTTACCGAAACAGCAGGCGGCAAACAGAGCGTGATTATGTTTGCGTCGCTATCACGGAGGTCACTGAGTAGGCATGTTTTGGTCTGTTCAACCTACACTGGAAATTGCATCCAGCGTCAGTGCTTGGCTTTAGGTAACTCAAGCCTTCAGTTTATTTCAAAAGAATGAATGCGAGTCCCGAGTGCGGAAATCGCGCCGTTCTTTTTAAAACGGGCAGGCAGTTTTGACAATCATCGACCGGGTCGTTGAAAGTTCACTAGAACGCATATCTAATGCAATTAAGGATGTGAGAGATTTCACGGCACGTTAACAACGCATCAACCATGAAGCCATTATTACGGGCTTTTTTCTTCTTTTTTAACGCTAAATCATTTTTTGTCTTAGCTTTCACGAACCAAAAAGAAGGAGTGGTAGGAAAAGGCGTCATTTTTAAATGATTTTGCGCTTAGGTACTCCTTAAATGGCATCAGCAATGGTCCACTACTCTAATATTGAATGTCGAGCGTATGTATTTACATCAATCTTGCAGCATAACTATCATTTGCATAACTATAATTGTATCCCATGATTTTATCACTCTAGCTTGATCAACAACACGAATATGACACACTTGGTGTGCATAAATGTGCAAGCAAGTACCCTTAACTTTTTCTTTGTTGTTCCAGATGATTCTTCAAATGATAAGGCCTGAAAGTCGTACATTTTCTGGTAAGTACATCAAAGAGCCTTTGGTAACCGAGGCACGCATTATCACTATGTATGTATGTATGTATGTATGTATTTACGATCAAGAGCAATCCACAATCGGCGTGGCGATTGCCAACCGAACGGTTCATACATCTTATTGCAGAGCCAGCGAAACTTCTTTGTATGTGCATTAAAGTCACTTATTTACGTAATTTTTAGCAGCCTAAACATTTGTATTATTTTGGGGCTTGCAGAAGCGAAACGTTTTATCTTTTACCGTTTGCTACTTAGCTTGTCCGTGGTGCTCAGTTACTTTCTAGTTTCCCCGGAGAGTGGCTAATTTCGCTGCCCTCGCCGTACTGCCATTGTGCAACTCAAAGTGACGGATCCGGCAGCGGGCAGGGGAGACTGCCCTCGCCCGATCCGATTTTCTGTCCACCGCCGCAGGAAAGTCGGGGCGAGAGTGGTTGCGGCCGAGTTGAGCGAACTTGTTCTTTGTTCATATGTCGGGCGTTTCGCCGCACCTCTCAGGGACAGTTGTAAAGGGACACCGCGGTTAAAATGGAGTCGGCTCTCCGCTGCAGTTGTCCCCTATATAGAGTTGTCTCTGGACTGGTGCTGAGGTCGGATAGTGCGAGCCATCTAAGATGATGAAAGGCCTTAGTCCCGGCCTGTTGCTGTGATTTTTCTTTTTCTTACAACTCTGACCAAGTATGGACAATGGCATGATCCAGCTGTGCCATCTCACCGAACTGAGCTAAACGCAAGGGGAGCTAATATACCTAGCCAAAAAGGGAAAAGTTTCAGACATCAGATTTAAACCTCAGACAATAACAATAAACAGTCGTAATAAAAAGAGCGGTTAGTCCACCTTCCTCGCCTTCGCCGGCGTCCGGATATAACTAGTAGTTCCGCAACTTCACTGCGGGACTGTCGTGCCGGTCCGGCTCGGTCTACATTAACCATGCCTCGTCCGTGGCTGTAGTGGCGTCCGAGCTGCACTCTCATCCTCTCCGGCGTCTCCCTCTCGACACGGAGAGACGTGCCCGCCGCTCTCCGTCCCTCCCCCCCCCCCCCCCCCCCCGGCCGGACCAAATGGTGCCGGGCGCGGCGGCGGCGGTCGTCCGGTCGGCTATAGCTGAGGCCGGGGCAGTGCGCAAAACGAGATGTGCACGACAGCGCCTGCGACACACGTCCGACTACGCTGCACGAACAAATTAGGGCGACTACGACAGCCGGCGTAATTGTGTTTGCCGACGCATAGGAATGGCCGTTCGAAACAGCACGCAGCTGCGTCCGTTAGCACAGTGCTGAACTGAACAGCGAGTCCATCCGTCAGACTCCGGAGCCCGGACAGGTCTATTGTCAATTGACTCTCGTCTCCTGTGTAGCGTTGATAAAGACAATCAGGAATTATAGGTCGAAAGAGTTAAGATAATTATATCTTAATTATTTTATCTTATATTATCTTATCTTATATTATTAGATAATTTTTTTTGAGGCGATGAAGTGATTAAGTTTTCTTTGTCATCCACAAATAAACGCTGGAAGAAAATCCGATTTTTAAGTAATTACGGATAGCAATTATATAGCTAAATTGCGAATCCTCATTTACACTTTACAGTCCGCTCAATAACAAAGCCTTATGATCTGCGGGAGTCCTGAATGTGTCTTGTCAGATCAGTTAATCACGTTTTTCGCACATCAAGCTCTAAAGATACATTGACATGATCCAGAAAGCAACACAGACCACCAGCACCTCCTTACAACAGAAAAGTCTGCCATTTCAAAGTTTGCCACACATCCAGAGCCATAATAGAAGCGGGGACTCACCAGGCTCTTCGGTGAAATTTTCATCCTCGAACACATCAGCTGCTGGGCAACAATTTGCATGTTAAGCAGCGTAACGGTGCGGACTGCGGAGCCTCGTGATGCGAGGGCCTTTCGGTCTGTGCTGCGCAGAGAAGATCGTGGGGAAGGATCTGACTAGGCCCCGTGAATAGGTCGCAGACCAGGAGACCCAGTAGTACGTTCATTAACGTCACACGAAGTTTAAAGGTTGGACTGAACGGCGAACATGAAGTAATTTGTGGAGACTGGAAAGGTTAATGCCGGGCACATACGTGCTTGGCGACAGTGCTATTTTGATAGGATTATTTGATTGCGATATGAACATTGAACAACTACATGTAATAGTATGATCGATCAGAATCCAATTTCGTTCGGAAATGCAATCACACGATATAAACTGTTGGCCGCTAGTGCCGCAGCTACCACTTGTTGACCGCGCAGTGCAGAGCCGTCCCAGTGATGGCCGATTCAAATGATGAGTTATCTCGGCCGGCGACGCGCGGCGGGATAACTCGGCAGTACTCCGCTCAACGACGGACGCGGCTCCACTGGGGGGTGGCGGACGTGACCAGCCGAGGGGGGGGGAGGGTAGCCGCTTGCCGCGATAGATTGGTGCAGCCGGCGGCCTCATGAGACCCATCTGCTGGCCCGGCACAGACCACCTCCGAGTGTGGGGCCACGGCCAAGGGCACGGACACGGACACGGGCACAGCCAATGACACGGACACGGGCACGGCACGGGCACGGTAAGGACACGGCACGTACACGGACACAGTACGGACACGGCACGTACCTACACGGAAACGGTACGGACACGGTACGGACACGGAAATGGACACGGGCTTACGGACACGGACCCGGTCACGGCCACGAGCAGGGACACCCGCGTTCCACGCCCTCGACCGGCGAGCAGGGCTTTGTGAACACCAACAGATTGTCACGGTAAAGGGCGGGCAACGCGCTTTGTAGAAGATAAGGGAGGAAAACTAACGAAATTATCCGCAATAAGGCACCTATTGACTGATATGCTAACATTTTCCTTGGTTTCGACAAACTCTTGCTCATAAAAAAACGTACTTTTAAATCAACTGTCGAGATCTTCAGGTGAATTAATGTAACTGTTCCAAACGCGGCTGAGGGCGTCTAATGGTGTGGTAATTTATGCACTGAGCAGCCGGAAGATGAGTAAACAGCTTCCAAATAAAATGAAACCTTCAAATCAACCCCCGTTTCCAAAATATATGTCCCTGTTGGGTGGCGATGCAAACAATCGGTCTCATGGTACCAGAGGGATGCATTCTGGCTGCTATCAGTGGTGTACTGTCCGTGCGGCTATACGGCCGTCTATGCCGAATGGATTACACAGACCCGTCAGCCCGATATCCGAGCAGCAAAACCCGTCTGTGACATCGACCAGAGGCGCGCGCCGCCGCTCCGGTCGCCCCGACACATGATTGGATTCAAGAGTTCCAAGTCGCCAGAGTTGCCGAGCCAAGTGGTATTTCTAACGAGCTACCCGATCGCGACCCTTTGAACTCGACATTGAATGTATTAATTAAATAACAGCGCCAGCTCGCTGATCAAATTGGATACTTGATGAAGTTGACATTCCTGTTCAAGGCCGAACTTCAAGTTCAATGAAGTGAGGTTCGTTGCTCGAATTTGTCTACGTTCGTCTGATATTTCTGTCCTGGAAAGGCCGCTCATATGAATAATTTGTACAGGTTACTCGATGATGCCGCTCATTACTACAAAAATAATTTGTATGTACGTAAAAATAATTTCAAAGCTATTTGGAAATAATAGCATTGCCGTTATCACATATTCTCTCAATATTGATAAGTCTATGCTGCCGTAATACTGTTTTATGATGACGTTAGATACTTATGACAATATTGTTGAAATTGATGTGAAGATCGATATCTTGAAAACGAAATTCCCGAATCAAATTTTATTTTAGAGGATAAAATTCATCTACAATAGGTGCGACAGATGCATCTGGTCCAGGATGGAAAATGATCCTTTAATTATATAAGATAATTAATGGATGCGTACGATTAATCTTCAACATTTCTGAAGTATTTTGTGGTAAGCAGCAATGGAATCACAAGAGCGGCCTAAAGCTATCAGTTGCAGCTTTTGTTGATGCTGCTCTGATACGATGTCACTTCAAAGGATAGAACCATGTTTTGGGATTTACTGATAGCATCCTGTTTCCTTAGTTGCATGGAATGCATGGAAATGGTATGCGTCAAGCTATAGCGGCTAGCGCAGCATTGTTACAAATGTGATTTTAGTCACATAATACATTGTTAAAGAGTAATAGGAATGAGGAGTAATGTAGGTGCGTTGTAAGAGTGGATGTAATGCAGGAAATGCCTCTGTATGCTGATTGCTGAGGCCTCTCAAATTTTCTCATGACTCCTTTGAGTGTAACAAACCACAAAAGCCATAATCACTGTCATCATACGTCCTGTTATGTTTTATGTAATTCATGGCCATAAATCGGCTGAATCCACAACGGTATGATAAATTATGAGCTCCACTGCATCTTATTCCCGCTGGGCTCTGAAATGATTTCCGCGAAATAGGTTCCAGAGATGCATACGCAGAGCAGAATAATGCTGTTGTGCTCTTCTGAACGAGTCACAAGAGGCTCTCTTTGTTGTTGCTGTCGTCTGCGACTGAAAAGGCAGAGCGCTTACATCCGTTGTAATTATGTACACATGCATTGTGTTGACGCAGCAGGACACCGGTGCTTTCATTGCTATTTTATATTTCGTCTCCAATTAATCAGCGAGCGCCGAGCGTAAAGTATGAAAATGTCAAGTTCAAGGTCAAATTAGAGCTTCACGACATCCGTCTCTGACGTTGTGACAACATTGTGTCACTGGGGTGCATCGTGTGGCGCCTGGCTCACACAACTGGGCCAGTGCGTCGTCCGAGAGTGTCTCCGTGCTATCAGAGTCGCAGTTCAGGTCAGCTCTGACAGATGCCTCGCCACACTGTCCGTCTGTCAGCGTACAGGGCGACCTGCCAACGAGAGGCCCCTGTCCGTCCCTCTCCCCCGCGTCCTACTCAGGTTGGTCGGGGGCTGATCAGAGACCTGTGCGGCTGCTGTCCCGCCTGTCTACACTCTTCTATCGGCTGTCGGCGACCTTCCGCAGCAA